CTGTAGACGACGCCATTAACCTGGCCCTCCACCACATCCTACAGCACCTGGACTCCCCGAGGACCTACGCCAGGGTCCTGTTCGTGGACTTCAGCTCTGCTTTCAACACGATCCTGCCATCCCTGCTCCAGGACAAGCTCTCCCAGCTCAACGTGCCCGATTCCACCTGCAGGTGGATCACTGACTTCCTGACGGACAGGAAGCAGCGAGTGCGTCTGGGGAAGAATGTCTCGGACTCTCGGATTATAAATACAGGAACCCCACAGGGCTGTGTGCTTTCTCCCCTGCTCTTCTCCCTGTACACCAACAACTGCACCTCCAGACACGACAACCTGGAGCTGAACGCCCAGAAGACAATGGAGATAATGGTGAACTTCAGGAAGAGCACTGTCCCCCCGCCCCCACCCTCCGTGATGGACTCCCCCATCACCTCTGTGGAGTCCTTCCGTTTCCTGGGCACCACCATCACCCAGGACCTCAAGTGGGAGCCAACCATCAGCTCCATCAAGAAGGCTCAGCAGAGGATGTACTTCCTGCGGCAGCTCAGGAAAGCCAAGCTGCCTGCACAGATGTTGGTGCAGTTCTACACGGCCATCATCGAGTCCATCCTCACCTCCATCACCGTGTGGTTCGCTGGAGCCACAGTCAGGGACAAACAGAGACTACAGCGCATCATGCACCTGTGCGTCGCCCGAGCTCGAGACCGGGTTGGTTGTATCACAGCCAACCCCTCTCACCCCGCACATGGACTATTCCAACCACTCCCTTCAGGCAGGAGACTGCGGTCTATCAGGACTAGAACCTCCCGCCACAAGAACAGTTTCTTCCCCTCTGCTGTTGGACTCTTGAACATTTCATAATCTGTCCCCCCGCCCTTTATAAAGTCACTTTACTGCCCATCATACGTCACTTTACTGCTGTCACCGTATATTGTGTGCACCATGTGCACTTGTATGTTGTATATAGTAATTGTAATATTCTATTTTAAATGTATTCCTTAGAAGTACTTTTTGGGCACGGTGGCTGAGTGGATAGCACTCTCGCTTCTCAGCAAGAAGGTCCTGGGTTCAAATCCTGGTCGGAGTAGGGCCTTTCTGAGTGGAGTTTGCATGTTCTCCCCGTGTCTGCGTAGGTTTCCTCCGGGTACTCCGGTTTCCCCTACCACTAAAAACAAGAACAATAGGTCTGGCATGCGCCTCCTTTACTGGAAACAACACTCCCATCTCTGTGTGGAGTGAGAGGACAAATGCCCAAAAATAACAATTGTAAACCGCTTTGTGACTCTGGTCTGTGAAAGGTGGTATATAAATAAAGATTACTTATTATTTTATTTTTATTTTTTAATTATGCCTTCTCTACCCTTTACCTCTCTCTCTGACTGTTGCACTGAGCAAAAGCAATTTCCAAGTCTGTGACTTCGTATTACTTAAGGGGCAATAAAAATGATTCTTATTCTGATGAGAAAACTAGTGTCAGAAGCAAACTGGAACTAGAGCTATGGCTTTTATCACAGGGTTCAAAAGACACAGACTTTTGAACTGTAGGTCTCAGGTCAGTTCTCAGCTCCGGTCCAAGGTCCAGGTCTCAGGAGGATTCTCTGGGTTAATCCGGTTGGTCCAATCCTCTTTCACATCTGCCATAGTCAGAGCTTCACTTAAAGATCAGCAACACTTTCACCACGAAACAAGAAACAAGCTTTGACAACCAAAGGGAGACCAGAGAGAGAGACCAGAGAGAGACCAAAGAGAGCGACCATATGATATGTTCAGGGGATATGTTCAGATCAGCTTTTTCAGACAGAAAAGTGAAAAAAGAGAGGACCACCTTCATTCAGCCCATAGAGTCAAATAGTGACTCACAGGGCTCTTTCGTAAATGTTCTTTTCATAAGATGAAGGCAGCATGTTATGGTCTGATTTGTTCACAACGTTTTAGTTTTACAGACTCTTTGTGTTGGGACATCATGTGTCAAATCCCAGCTCTAAATTAATCAAGAATTGCTGTCTGTGCAGGTTCTAAATCAGGGGTTCCCAAAGTTTTTAGCCCCCCCCCCCCCCCCCCCCCCCAATAGCCCTTCCGTCACATGAAATGAGCATGTATTTCCTTGATACGGAGTAACGCTTTCTAGAGACTCACGCCACTACCGAGCTGCACTGTCCAGCCCAAAAAAGGAGGCTTGCACATTTTTACTCATGTAGTGACACAGTGATGGGCTTGGTGGGCTCCCTCCTCAGCAGAAGTGGAGCGCATTTCTTGCGGCTCGCCCTCACTGTTCTCCTACCGCGGTAAAGTGGGCCGGCTTTCCGGAGTCAGCGGTAAAGAGGTCCGCACATTAAAAGCGGGCGGCCGCTTTCTGCTGTTACTTTATGCGGTTCATCCCCGCGGCTTCTCTTTCCAAAGTTACTGTCAGTAAAGGCATAAACCGGCCACCCGCTTTTAATGTGCGGACCTCTTTACCTTTGACTCCGAAAAGCCGGGCCTCTTTAACGCGCTGTTCTACCGCTGTCCTCCCTCCCTCCTCTGTCCTCTCTCCCTCCGCTGCCCTCTCTCCCTCCTTTGCCCTCTCTCCCTCCTCTGCCCTCTCTCCCTCCTCTGCCCTCTCTCCCTCTCTTCGCACCATCAGCCTGACCCCTGATACAAGTGACTTTTCTCCCCCTCCGGGTTTTTCTGTTGTGGATATTCATAGACGTCGGAACTAGGGGTGCGGGGGGTGCGGCCGCACCCCCTCCGCGTGTGCCGGGAGCGAGAAGTTATTACTATCCTGCGTTCCTTGCAGCCCAAAACCCGGTCCATGCTGTCGGAGAAGCTTATGAAGCTCTGTCTGGCTAATATCTGTCGCAGCCTCTGAGCGCTCTTTCTCAGCCTTGCGCAGATTAGAGACCTGGCTACACCAGTGACGTGCGGTGGGGGATCAATCATGTGTTCATATGATTATACATCATATAAACCAACAGGACCTACAGGAACAGGAGCGGCTTATACACAATTTGTTTGGCTACAGCAGAATATGATTTAATGTCTGCATTGTTTTCTCATACAAAACGCAAACGTTTGTAAAAAGTACAAAGTGTGTTATGGGCCTTACCTTAGGTATTAATGAACAGCACAGACCACTTCAGTTAGGACCAGTTTCATGTTTAAGTCCAGATAATAGTTTGAGCACAGACATGTAATCCTCCATTTGGAAATAAGTTCAATGAGTTTTAAAAAGTAAAAAAAACGGTGTCTCCTCCGTAAACTCCGAGTTTTGCTGCAGCCGACTCCCGGGTAAATCCAATTTCTAAATTCAACCTTACCCTTCACCTCCTTTTCTTATGATTCATATCATCATTGGAAGCAAAACATTACTCTAAGTGCATTTTAAATTATCTTAAAATGTATTATAGGTATGTTAGCCAAACCTGTAGCTGCCCTTAGCAGAAGAAGAACAAGAAAGGAGCTTTCTGATGGACTTGGATGCAGCCAAAGTTTGGGCTCACAAGCGCCCCCTTGAGGCTTTCCTCACTTACAAGCAGTGGTTGAGCGCGATTAAGACCCATATTTGCTTCAAAAACACAATTTATGAGCCATCCTCTTAAATGTAAACATGTTGATTGTAAATTAAATATTTTTGGACTTTTTAAACTGTGATAAACAGAGAAAACAGTTTGATAGCACCTCACAGGACTCTCCCTGTGAGCTGTTGCTTTTTACGTCTCCCAAGAGAGGCTCGCCTCACAGCACCGCTCTGTCAAATCTGCGATTTCAAGGTATAAATAAATGAAATAAGGCACAGCACAAATCACTTGATAAAGTGACCAAACATTATTGTATCCATTTTATTACTTTTCTTTCTATGATCTTAGGTGAGGGCCTTGCCTGCCTCATCTGACCGCACGTCACTGGGCTACACAACACAATGAAGCCACCGGAGAGACTGACGCATGAATGCGTATTGAAAAAAAAAAAGTTCAGTTTGATAAGTGACTCGCTTGATATATATTGTTTATTTTGTTTTTCTTAACAATTAAGATGGTATGTTATTATCCAGTGTAATCCAAGTATGAGTCTCTCCCTCGACTCTCCCAACAAAAACCCGCCCCCCCTCTCAGAAAATAGTTCCGACGTCCATGTGGATATTAACCTCGTTTCATTTTAAAGCAGGTATTATTTATTTGTAGCCTCCAAACACCTTTAGTTTTAGCAAACAACAGCAGGACACGCTTTGTCGCTGCGCATGATGTGAGCTGTGTTACGTGATGATTTTGATTGACGCTGCAATGACTGGGACAAAATTACTAACGTTATTAAAATATATTATAGTCTCCAAACACAATTTAACAAGTAGTCCTTTTGAATCAAATCAAATGCTAAATAAATATTCAAGGGCTTTATATTTGAGCAAAAAAAATCTTTTTTTTTTTTGTGTGGAAATCATCTTGCGACCCCCCCAGGGGTTCCCGCGACCCCCCGGGGGGTCGGGACCCCCACTTTGGGAACCACTGTTCTAAATGACCGTTGTAGCTGCAAACAAGTGATTATGAAAAGAACAGAGACATGCATGAAGATAATTTCCTTAAGACGGCATACCTGTACATTTTGTACTGTATATTTAAAAAAAATAAAGATACATTAAAAATTTTCTTCACGTCACATTTATTCTCATTTATTCCTTTTATACGTCAGCAGAAGCATCAGGGCTTAAAGTCTCAAATGTGAACTCTGCACAGTGGGTCAAAATCGCTCTACTTTTGTTGTCTCTCTCGGCTCGGGTCTCGGCTCGGGTCGGCTCTCGGCTCGGGTCTCGGGTCTCTGCTCGGGTCTCTGCTCGGGTCTCTGCTCGGGTCTCTGCTCGGGTCTCTGCTCGGGTCTCTGCTCGGGTCTCTGCTCGGGTCTCTGCTCGGGTCTCTGCTCGGGTCTCTGCTCGGGTCTCTGCTCGGGTCTCTGCTCGGGTCTCTGCTCGGGTCTCTGCTCGGGTCTCTGCTCTGGTCTCTGCTCTGGTCTCTGCTCTGGTCTGTGGACCCCGAGGACTCGGCTGAGGTCTCTGGGTCCTGCAGGCATCTCAACAGTTGGGCCTGGTTCCACAGACACTCCTTCATCTTGTCCTCGGTCATGGACAGACGCTCCTCCAGGACCGACACTGTCTAAAAGGAGAAAGAAAATAGAACTATGTGTGTAGAACCTTTCTGGTTTTACAATTACTCAAAGCACTATACAGTGGAGAGACACTTCATCGTTCCCAGGCCAACTAAGAGCCCCTCCAGAGAGAGAAACTAGAGAGAGAAACTAGAGAGAGAGACCAGAGAGAGAAACCATTTCGGATCTCAGTCGTTCTAAAGTGCTAGCCTGTGCTCCTGTCTCCCCTTGCACCTGGGTGAGGACGTCGAGCTGGGTCACGATGTGCTGCATCGTGGTCTTGAGCGCGGAGGGATGTCCCGATAGAACGTCCAGTCGCTGGGTCTCCGCCTCCGGCTTCGCCTCTGCTCGCCTCCCATTGGCTGCTACCCTCACCTTAGCCCCGCCAACTCTCCGCTCGTTCAGCAGCTGCAACCACAGAATCGAAGGAGTTAAAATGTCGTCAAGTTTTGATTTACAGCGAGGAAGACAGGAACGGGTCAAAACACCAGAGAGAGCCCAGAAGGAGACCAGAAAGAGGGACCAGAGAGAGACCAGAGGGGTTTTTCAGCCTCAAAACATACTGCTGCTACTTCAGGGATTATGGCTTAACGTAACCCCAGCGATAAACGAGGGACCAGTGTAACGTCAAGATCATGTTTTTTCATGAATGAAGATGCATCATTGCTTGGTCTACTTCCTCAGCTCTATCTCTCCCTTTATGCTCTTCTATCTCTTATCTCCCTCTCTTGTCTCTCTTCCTCTCTCTCGTCTGTGTTTTCATGTCTGTCTGTCCCTGTTCCCTGCAGCTGCTGTGGTCAGAGCCTCATCCGCCCACATTTACACATCCGGCCGCAAAGGAGGAGCGCTTCCTGACCACCGGAGACCAGAGACCAGACCTGAGACCAGCTGAGACTAGACCTGAGACCAGAGGCAACAGCAGGAGAGAAGAGATAATGATGCATCAGTTTTATACAGCTCAAAGACGCTTCCCATGTCATAATTTTTCCACTCCATACACGGTGATAATAAACTGCTGTTGAAGTACACACTGACAGAAGGGAGGCAACCAGTATGTGCCATCGGCCCCTCCGATCACCCCTGACCATTTACGCACACACACAAGACTGTTTCTAATGTTCTAATGTGGGTAAAGTGTCTTGCCTAAGGAAACAGCAACAGTTTGGTATTTTATATGTGAGAGCAGGACACCAGAGGAGACCGTGAGAGACCAGGGACCAGAAGAGACATGCGAGTAGAGCAAGACCAGCTAAGACCAGAGTAGGCCAGAGATACAGCAAGAGAGCAGAGACTAGGAAGTACAGCCCAGGACTCACAAGTGTGGTCTTTAGTAAAGGAGGAAACACAAACACACAGAGGAACGCAATTGATCCCCATACCATGGAAGTTCCACATACAAAGTTGAGATTTTACATCCTTGCAGTATAATCTACAATAATGGTTTCCAAATCAAAAGGAGGGGACTCCTACACTCCTATACTGTGAAATCAGCTCCCCATCCACATCAAGGAAGCAGACACGGTCTTTACATTTTTAGGCCAGTCCTCTTTATTTCCAAATATGGTTAGCTAGGTAAGACTTACAAGTACTTGAGTTGTGAGATTTCATAACACTTTTAAGCAACTTTTGTTAAGGTTAAACTCATCATTCTATCAATGTGCAGAAGCCTGTACTTTTCCACTTCATGTTTTGACTATCTCTGCTGGCACCGTGGAAGCTGCTGATTGGAGGTCTCCATGCCTCCGCTCTGTATAATACACTTGCATTCTATTGTATCTGTGATCGTGTGCTTTGATCGTGCTGTCTCTACCATCGACAATAAAACATGTCTTCTGTCTGAATGAAAGACGCGATCCCAGACTTTGTCATCTTCTTCAGGTGGTGGAAGGATGCGGGCCTTGTCTGTAACATCTAGAGAACAGAAGACTACTTTTTTTTTACACAAAAAGTGTTTTTTTTTAAGCCAAAACTGAGAAACCTCAAGAGAATGCATCTGGACCAGCACACTTGGACAATCTGCACAGCCCCTGATTCCAGTCAGGCTGTGAGCTGCTGAGACATGGCCAATACCATCGTCCTCTTTTGCATGGACATCATTTGGAACAATTTGGACATAATTTGGACTGAATTGGATTTCTGAATCTGGACACTAAAGCTGAAACGTGTGATCCTGAAGAAGATGACATAGTCTGGGATCGCGTCTTTCATTCAGACAGAAGACATGTTTTATTGTCGATGGTAGAGACAGCACGATCAAAGCACACGATCACAGATACAATAGAATGCAAGTGTATTATACAGAGCGGAGGCATGGAGACCTCCAATCAGCAGCTGCCACAGTGCCAGCAGAGATAGTCAAAACATGAAGTGGAAAAGTACAGGCTTCTGCACATTGATAGAATGATGAGTTTAACCTTAACAAAAGTTGCTTAAAAGTGTTATGAAATCTCACAGAGTCTAAAAACACAGATTGTGAGAAGTATGGTAACAGCACTATTCACTCCTCCCTCTTTCTTTATCAGAGTCATCATTCGGATTTCAGCTGGAGTCTGTTCATTGCTGTTCACCCACTGTCCCATTGTTTGTTTTGCGGCGTGATGATTGGAGCTCTGAATCCGACCTCCTTCATCTGCACCTGTGGGCTCCTACAACCCTGCCTGGAAGTCTCTTCAGTCCTGGCTCTACAGCCTCAGTCCTGGATCTACAGCCTTAGTCCTGGATCTACAGCCTCAGGCCTCTCTCTCTCTCTCAATGTGGGCCTGCTGAGATTTATCACTTTTTTCTTGATGGGTTTTTTGCAGGAGGGTCTAAGGACAGTGACAATTTGACCTTTATTAATCCTATTTTGCATTTCCTGTGTTTGAACGGTTTGATTCTCTGATCTGTTGTTGGTGAATCCACAACTGTGTAAAGTCCTCTGCAACGACTGCTGTTGTGGTTTAGAGTGATACACAAATAAACTGAATTGAATTGATTTACACAACATGTCCTCATCTATTTTCAGCCTCCTCTAAAGCTCAGGTGTACCTCTGCTAGCCGCTCATTACCATCTCTATGAGCTCTCCACCGCCCACCGCAACTTAAAGCGGAGCTAGCGCGACACGGCCCAAAGCTAATGGCTCTGGAGAGTGTTTGCCGTTGTCATGGGAACCCTTTTGTCCTGATAAAAGTGGTTTGTTTTGGAGTGATTGTTGACAAGGGCCGGATTAACCTGAGGAGAGAGTCGTGACTGAGGACAATGCCCAGGGAATCCCCAAAGCTTTAATGGACTGTGCATTAGTTTGGGTCCATCAGGGGTTTTCCACCAACGCTTTGATGTTGAGCAAAAACTACCACAGAATAGTACGATATAATTAAGAATAAAAGGAATATTGTCCCAGACTCGGAAACAGAAAAAGGGAGATTCCAAAAAGTCGGATGCACAAACTACTTAATTAATTTATGACTGTTGCTGTTATGGCTGAAACAAATATCTTAAATAAGAAATATCACGCATTACTTTTAGCTGCTAAAAATGATTGACTTTTTACTTTGTATTTTCATGTTGTAGAATGTATGTGTTGTATATCTTCGGTAGAAAATGTATGAGAAGTCTGAAGGGTAAAAAAATGCTTTCCGCCTGTAACTGCTGCCAACAATGGCCAGTCAATTTTGTTTTTTTTACAAGTTTGAAAATGATAAAACGAGAGGTGAGGAGAGGCCGTAATTTCACCTGAGAAATTCCATCCATCCATCCATCCATCTTCTTCCCCTTAATCCATTTCTGGGTCGGGGGGGTGGCAGTCAGAGCTGCACCCAGTACACAGAGCACCAGCCCCTCACTGATCCTCCTGCAGGTGCTGAGTCCACATTTCACCTGAGAAATTAGCTATTTTAAACTGCTCTGACTTTGATTTCATAGTGGTACAATGACAAGACTAAGACAGGAGCTTTTAGACCGAAGGGGCGGAGCCACAGGTTAGTGCCTCATGATATTAGCGTGGATGGAACTAAAACCCTCCAGGTCTGTGACTGATGACGAACAAAGTAGTCTCAAGAACACTCGCTTTTTCAAAAACTTTTCAAAACACATTATTTATTTTATTTATTGTATATTTGGTTGGGACAGTACATGTTAATGAACACATCCCTCCGGATTGTAGCCATGGGCATTCACCCTGAACTATTGCACATGTTTTTAGTGGTAGGGGAAACCGGAGTACCCGGAGGAAACCTACGCAGACACAGGGAGAACATGCAAACTCCACTCAGAAAGGCCTTGTTCCGACCGGGATTCTAACCCAGAACCTTCTTGCTGCGAAGCGAGAGTGCTATCCACTCAGCCACCGCGTCGCCCGGTGACACATACAATAGATGTTGTTTATTGTTTATTGTTCATGCAATTTCATAATCAATTTGCAGTTGACACATTCATACATGCTTTTACCTGAACAAAAGGAACAGAAAGAAGATAAATCTTGTATATCCTGTCCTTTGTACAAAAACAATAAAATAAAATAAGGAAAGCAAATTGAATTTCCCAATTTAAACCCCAAACACCAAAAACCCAAGTCACCAATTGCACAAACGCATCAACAGTCCTCAATGTCTCACATTTCGTCAGATACAATCCTCTTTTTTAACCTAGATTATATTCATTCAAAATTTTTACTTTATACATTCTCTTAAACTTCCACACACTTTTACAAACTTTGAGTTCTTCATTCAAGGAGTTCCACAGTTTAACTCCATAAACTGAGGGACATTTCTGTTTCAGTGTTGTCCTGGCAAATTTGGTTCGGAAGTTGTGTTTTCTTCTGTGTCCATCACTCACGCAAAATAGATCTTGCACATAATTGGGCAACATTTTCTGTTTAGCTTTCCACACAAGGAGCAAGGAGATCTGAATGTAGTAAGAGAGTGACCGGATGGCGGTGCTCGGGTAAATTATAAAGTGCTTTGTTTGAATGATATTCCAACAAAGCACTGAGTGGCTGAGTGGATAGCACTCTCGCCTCTCAGCAAGAAGGTCCTGGGTTCGAATCCCGGTCGGACCAGGGCCTTTCTGAGTGGAGTTTGCATGTTCTCCCCGTGTCTGCGTAGGTTTCCTCCGGGTACTCCGGTTTCCCCTACCGCTAAAAATATGTCCAATAGGCATGTCTGGCATGCGCCTCCTGTACTGGCGACCCCGCTCCCATCTCTGCGTGGAGTGAGAGATAAATGCCCATAATTAACAATTGTAAACCGCTTTGAGACTCAGATCTGCAGTGAAAAGACAGTATATAAATAAAGATTACTTACTTACTACTACTACTACTATGTTTGAATGATAGATGACTTACTTATTGACATGGGTTAGCATTGTCCATCTATATACAGTCTGAGTGCAGAATAAACAACGTTTTCTTTTTGAGTGGTTCCTTGCCGAT